AACGACTGAAACAGTCGATATTTCGGCGAATTGCGCCTGTTGTCGCCCAAAATGTTTCGAACGTCCATCTTTTTATAAAAGTTCAAATCTTACACTTTGTTTCGATGCGACTCTGAAACGCCATCGGAAACATAATACAGGCCTACCTTGAGTGACTGCAGCTCCGTGTGGACGTACATCACGGTCAGGCCGACCGAGGCCGCGATGAGGCACACATTCAGCAGCGTTCCCACCAAAAACCAGAGCCAGAACCTCCCGTTCTTAGCCGGGTAGTTCTTCCCGTGAGATATTCTCCATCGACAGATACCTCGGAAAGCTTGTGATTGGGAGCCATGTTGTCCAGTAACTGAGAATAAGAATGCCGCACTGCCGCTCGGTCCCAGGACTCTGACTGCCAGATACCTAGTGAGTTTGTCAGTGATGGCATACAGACTATGGGGTTTTCCAATAACTGGCTTCCTCCCGGCTCAGGCTCCAGGGGATTTGTGAGCACTTCTGACTTTGGATTCCGGCTCAAAATAGGTCCGTGTTCTGCTTCTGGTACATCAAATCTTAAATCTGAGTCCACAATTCAAGGAATTTCCTTTTGGTTTGAACATAAAAGGCTGCTTAATTATTAGGAATGTAAAGCCGAATCCAGCAACGAGCCTTGGTTTCGAAAACCCCTCTGTAAGCGGTTAATCATCTGGTGCGTTCCTTTGAAGCTTGAAGAAGATACAAATCAGATTTTGCGGAAGCAAAACAAGGGACGAGAGGATGCAAAAGGTTGAACCACATGACATAAAGCCACGGAGGGAAGTACCATCGAAATTGTGTAGTAGTTCAAAAGGATAAAGACACATTAATGTCAGGAAGAAGGAAGTACCGAGAAGCATACAGGGCTCAATTTTACACAAGGGCCTTCAAAATGGTAAAGAGGTGTACCTCGAGCGTTTTGTTTACTAAAGAAACAGTTGGGGAAACCTATTTCCAGGTTGTTCAGTGTTGTATTTGCTGCTGACGTTGCAGCTATACATGTACATGTTTAGTGTTGCCTTCTTGTTATAATGCAGTTGATGTGGCCGCATGAATAGCCTAGGGCTCTGCAGGTACTACCCGCCTCTGTGTATTATGGGCCCAACAGCCAACTTTGGAAAACTGCCTGAAATTTGCTTCTTTTATTGGCAATAAAATATCAAATGTCTAGTAACTTTATTTTTGTTGGGATGCAACTTACCTGGTAACTACAGGTAATATAGAGTGAAGATCTGAACATTCCTAATTTTCTTGTTTCCATGTAAATTTCAGAAGAAATTTTCGGAAAAAAATTCCTCAAAATTTTCACAAATATTTTGAAGAATGAACTTTTAATGCATATTATTTCTCATCAAATTGAGAAAAAAGTATGATTTGGATCAATACTAAATACCACTCATTGAGTATAATAATATCGTTTTGACGTGTTGCCGACATATTTGATGCTGCTGAAATCAACAACATGTCAAGTGGCGTATTCCTCTTGTAGTGACCGACAAGGCAACACATTTTACGTAATATGCTATACACTACATTGTATATAAGATGCATTAATATAAATGTGCAGGTCTTTGGTAAACAACCATTTTTAACCAAAGTATGAGTCCATACATTGCTAAGAATTTGAATACAAAACAGAGAAGTTTAATCATGACATTTCTCACGCGATAGAAGATCATCTTTGATTGAACAACTAAGCCTCTGCGTATGATGGCGCTTCGTCACCATCGGCAATTGGTTCAGAATCCCTCCCACGGACCGGAAAAACTAACTAATTTCAATGTCCCGCGCTGCAAATTTGTCGACCATCTCCCACCATGCACTGGGAAAGATGAACTCTCCGTGGCAAACTCTTGATGGCGCACTGTATTGTGAAACGCCCGAATTTTTTTCTTGTTTCCACGTCGGACAATCACAAACGTGGAAGAGTGTACGGCAGCTTTTTCGTAGGGAAGGATGCTTGGGGTAAGCATCCTAATTTCTTTCTTCCCTGCACATTTATTACCTGGAGGCCTAAACGATAACTCATACATTAAGAATCTCCAAGCCAGATTAAATTATTTAAGCTTTTCTCGAATTTTACCGAAATCATTTTTGAAAGATCGCCAAGTGAATTAGTTAACTTCGTACAATTCCCGAACCTTTGTCTGCATAAACTGAGCGCGTGCATGGCTCCCCATTGTGGTTTCCTCCTGGTATTTCCGTCGGGTGATTTATCATGAGTTCAATTGTCGCGAAGCGTCAGGGAGTCACCAGAAGAAAGTTCAAGCCGGCGAGTAATGAGAATTCCAACTGCTCAAAATACATATTATGCCCGTCCAGATTTGACAATTTCCTTTCCCGGATGATCACACCACAACTATAGCTGAGGGTGGCCTCATATAGGTAATGCTTCCAAAACAGTACATGGAGATATGTTAAATAAACCGGAGTTTTATCATTGTACATCATTGTTTTTGTACTTTCTCATCGTTCTGGTAACCTTGTAATTGGTAGTTTCACAGATCGGTTTTAATGCTAAATGATTATAAGTCGGTTTACTTCGACGCTCCGTATGAAGTAGGCCTATCTATTGTTGACGTTTAATGTGACGTCACTTTCCTTAAATACGCCGACGTGTTTGACAATAATTATGGTGGACTCGTTGTTTATCACCAAGCTTCGGTTCCTCACGGCATCAGCCTAATTGCTGATTCCGTAACAGTTTCAAAGCCTTCAATGCCAAAACCAAATGGGGTTTCTCTTTGAGGGTGGCCTCATATATGTAATGCTTCCAAAACAGAACATGGAGATATGTTAAATAAACTGGAGTCTCGAAGACATGCGGGGCGTTCAATTCCTCCTGGAGACTAAGCTGGAAACGAACCGAAGTTTGGAAAATCTCGTTTTACTCGGAGTACAAAAATTATGGTTTTCTATAGCCAATGTTTGCAGTCAGATGGCAAGTTGTGAGTTTATTTAATGTGCATCCGATAACGTGTTGCATTGTTGAACTGGCATAATTTAACTTGCGTTGTTATAAACCTTCTGGGTAAACAAAGACATATTTTATGCACTACGTTAATTTGCCCATTATGGATACAAGCGGTACGTGTGTTATACTGAAGACGAACTACCACAAATGGAACGCAAATCACAATCCCAACCAGAATCTCAGCATATTGTAGACATCACTCTTTAATATCAGTGTCAACATTCTGCCGTAAAACAGCACCACACCCTTCGTTAACCATCATTAATCTTAATACCGTCTGTGTCCACCTCTACGTAAAGATATTTGTCTTTTATATAAGCATGCTTCTTTTATAATAAGCGAACAACAATAATATGTCTTTAATAAAAATCCATTCATCTGAGTATTAAATTCAATAGTCTTCGTTGATTTCAATTTATATTTTCAGAATTATATCCATTGGAATGCAGTCACCTCTGCTCGGAGATAGTATAGTTGAGTTTTGTAGTCGAGTCCTTTACCGAATGTGACGAGGAAACCAAAAGTGGAAACAAGTGGAAACAAAAACGAATGTGACGAGGAAACCAAAAGTGGAAACAAGTGGAAACAAAAGCTGAAATTAAGTCTTTGTGGTTTTGGCTATGGGTAAAAACTGACAGAGAATTCGCAAAGTGACTTGAACTCAAGTCCACAAATATTTTTGCAACCAGTTGTACTTTTATCAGTGCGTTTCCATAACCACTCAAATTCCAGGTACTCACTCAGCTTAGTATTGCTGCTTATATCAGGGGCGGTTCCAGGAATTTTTGCGGGGGGGGGGGGTCTCATCAGCATGAAAATCAATGCTGAAATGTAGAAAGTTTTTTTTTTGTCCGAACACTTGGCTCCCTTATTACAGGATAGTGTACAAATACACATGCACATGCAGGCGTATTAATACCAGTATAATTGTTTTTGGATGTCAGAGCGGGGGGGGGGGGGGGGGTAGCATTTTTTTTTTATGAACTTCTATGGAAAAATACATTTTGGACAGAGCTGGGGGGGGGTTGACCCTAAAACACGCCCCCCCCCCCCCGGATCCGCGTCTGTATATAGGCTTCTCCTGCCATACAACATCGCATCGCAGTGTATTTGGGGACTCGTACAGGGACTCGACCACAACTCAGGTGTAGATTCACTAGATAAAAACGTCAAAGTGATATTTGACGTTTTTTCCATTGCGGAAAGAACCGCACCACTGGCTTGACTCAGAAATACCCCAGGATATCTCACTTGGGAGTCAGGTTGACGTAGGGGAGTCGGGATGGCAGAGCGGTTGTTTCCCCGGTATCCATGCATCGCTGTGGCCTGGGTTCGATTCCTGTCATGGTCCACATGTGGATTGGCTTGCCATTCTCTATTCCGTGGGTTTTCCCCTAGAATCGGGGGTTTTCCTCCCCCTTATACTGTAATTTCTTCTCATATTTCTCTCTCTATGTTTCTTGATGTTTGCGAGCTGCAGTGCCTAGAGTGCTTTAGTGGAATCCTTGGTTTCATTACTACTAAATCATTTACAATAAGAATAACTATAAAGGACCACTCATAACAAAAGATCATTAACTATTATACTGCACTCCTACTGACGTCATTTTTCTTTACTGTAATAAAAAAGTGCTAGCCGTAAAGGGCCCATGCAATGTATATTTTTTAATGCAAATCTTAAAATGACCTTCGTGTCCCATTTAACCTTATTATCAATTTTCGTTTTCCCATTTCGAAGGTTTTTTTGGTGCCTTGTTGGTTTTTACGCTAATGCGAATTTCCATATACATGAGCAATTGTGATATCATTCCGGGCAGAAATCTTACAGCTATTTCAGCACATAAGGTTGCTAGAATGCTGGATATTTTGCTGTTGTAAATTTTCTTTTCTTTAGTAATTTGTTGTTGTGTCAGTACAAGGCAGTATTAAGCCAATGAGCAAACCTTTCTCACGAATGTTTTCAATGAGCAAATTTTTGGCTCACAATTTGAACAGGAAACCCCAGAATTGAATAGTGTCTTCCTGAAATGTCACCAAGAGACAGCGCCCTCAGTTGTCCAGAAAAGCATGGGACATTTTGAGAAGTGCCCATTTCAATATGGATATCAAATAGTTGCCATACATTTTCAAGGAGTAGAATGTTGCACAACATATCTTCCTAAGAAAAATTCATCGCACGGACCCTAAAATTTAATTGACTCGTGGTTAAATGGGAGCCAGCGCCACTAACGAAAAAGGTAATGCATTGGGTATATTGACGCCCTCTTGTACACAACAGTGATTTCAAAACGGGGTTGGGTATGAAGGCATTTCTAGATGCTACAGACTGTGCATGCTATTTCACGCCCTTCGACATAAGGGGGGCACAGGAGGGAGCCACACTTCCCCTCAATGATGTAGAGCAGCGCGCCGTTCTCACTGGTCTGACTGCCGGGGGTCGCCTCGGGTGCCTCGTCCACGCACACGGCTTTGGACCGCTGCTCGTGGCCTTGGTTTCCGGACATGAGGAAGCCTCTGTACTCCTCCGTCCAGTCCTCCGGGCAGCCGAGCTTGGCCGGGAAGAGGTGCTGGGTCCCGCGGTCCATGAGGCGGCACACGGCGCACGGGACGTCACGGTCGTGCAGGAACTCGGCGTTCTCGTGGGAGAAGGGATCGAAAGCGGAAACTTCGTACTCCATCCCGTACAGGAAGGAGCCGGAGTTGACCCCGTCTTTGTGAGAGGCCGACCACTCCGGGTCAGACGGGAGGCAGAAGAAATCAACAGAACCACCCTTGTTAGTATAATGCGCACCTGCGGCAATACCTAAAGCACACACAAAAACGAAACAAATAAAGGTTTAAAGATCGCATTTTCAGCGGCGTAACGAGAAAGTTTTTTTTTAGCGAATGAGGGCGCAATGATGCCATCGTTCGCTCGTAGCCACCGCCCTGGTTTCCGCGTTTTGGCGGCACTTGGAACATGTTTCTGAAGTCACAGTCATGACGTGAAACGTGTTTCCAGTGCACCGCGAAAAACGCCTGACCAAAAAATTGTTCGTGAAGTCACTTTGAAAACAATCATGTCGGTTAGCCAACCATCATGACAACCACGGGACTACGAATGTTGGTCAATTGAACACGATAAAGCTAATGGTAAAGATATGGTGCTCGGCGTAAACATAGTTATATAGTTATCATTAATAGAATTTAATAATAAAGGCCCAAATATAGGATCATGAATATTCAAAAACATATTTAGCTGCCTTGAAAAGAATGGACCAATCCAGTAAGCACCGCCCCATGGTGTACTATGACCAATAACAGCCGTGATTTATGTCCGACGTGCGTGCACAGAAGTCCGACATGCGTGCACGCGCGTATGATGCGCGCGGCAGGAAAATGCAGCGTAGCATTGGAGAGGAGAACGTGTTAATTTGCCCACGTGCTCAGTGGTCGGGGTTCACTGGATCGGTCCATTCGACACCAGATCGAGCACAGAGCTAGCTAGAGCCCTACAAAATTGATAGCCGCCGCGTGCAGTGAAGTGTTAAGCTGTCTGGGTTTATGTTGACATTATTCATGGTATTCCCACCTGTACGGGCAGAGTCGTTCATCCTTCTCTAAAAAGGGTGCATATCAGCATAATTATAATTAGAAATTGCCCACGCAGGCCGAATCCCGATTTGCATGCCCTCAAATTGCCCGGTATGTTAGAGCATTTTGAGGGCCGTTTTCTTGAGGACTTGAAAAAGAGGGTGGAAGCCGTGCAGAGGACTGCAAGCTCGTATTTGTGTGATTTTTGGATGAAATTAGGCCCTAAAATCATAGTGGATCTAGGCCTATTTTGCAGTGGATCGTAGACGCCCATTTGGTGTCCTTAGGATAGCCTTTAATCAAGTCCCACGCGCCTATACCCGGACCATCGGACACGTAACGCACCCTGGATGCTGGCACGTAAAAAGACTAGCACGAGCGGCATAGCCGCGAGGGCCTTTACTATCTCGTGGGACTAATCACTTATTCATTTATTCACGTAATATAAATCAAGCAATATAAACCAATCATCTAACGGTGGTTTGCGGTTACAAGCAACAGCACGCGCGCCATGGCTGTGCGCCAGACGACGGCTGCATGATTTACGTTAGTACTTCTGCATTTTCATTGGTCAATTCACAACGGGTAATGCATTATGCATGTCTACCAAATCGGTAGACAAATGTAAAGAAAAACATAAGCGTTCTCCACGAGATGGTAAAGGCCCTCGCGGCTACGCCGCTCGTCCTAGTCTTTTTACGTGTCAGCATCCGGGGTGCGTCACGTGTCCGGGTAAGCGCGTGGGACTTGACTAAAGGCTACCTTCAGGACTGCTTTTAATGGTGATCAGCTTAGGCCATTGGTATGGAGCTTGCCCAAAAAGTGGTGCGGCGACGCGGCTTTTTTTTTTTTTTTTACCTGATTTTTTTGCTTCAAATGTCGGCTGATGACTGCAAATGGTGCCCGAATTAGTGCAAATACAAAAATGGGAGTCCAGAGAGGCCACATAAAGCTTATTCTCGACCATAAGCCAATCTAAAAACACGTTAAAATTGTGCAGCAGCAGGATTCCAGTCAAACCAGTGAGTTTGGCGGTTTTGAGACATCATCTTTCATTGAAAAAAACACTTTTTCATTTTGCCGACGCGCATGGCTACGGCGACACGCGCGCATACCAGAAACCGGAGACTTTTTTTTTTGGCCTTAAGATGGAATTTTCTCCCAAAAGTCATGCGATAATGGAACAAAGATTGAACAGGAAATGAAAGATAAGCTTTAATTTGAAGTGAGTTTCAAACACCTTTGTGAGTATTTTTTTTCAATAATTTTCGGAAGTGCGCGTATTTAGCACAGAGGTCTATGGCAGTCTATTTACTGGTCTGTAACCCTAAGATCCGTGCCCTACCGCAACTAGCGGTAGAGGGCTCCGCAACAGGGGACCATATAACCATATCCGGTAGGTTAAAGGGCCAGGGTAATACTCTGAATGCAGTTTCTAGCAAAAACTACTTTGGTTACGAGTGGTCCAGCGGTGGAGCACAGGATTCATGAACGTGAGATTCGAGCCCCGCCGTTGCCATGCTAGTCCGAGAGCCCAGCGAGGTTTAATCATAATTTCGAGTGCAAAAGGTTTAAAGCGTGGGATATGTAGGAGTAACTGAGACAACTGCAAAATGGGATTGCAACGGGAGGGGGGGGGGGAGCCCCTTATAATATATTCCCCCCAAAATTTGATTTAATCATAACTGATAGCCTTGGTCAAGGCGCTAGTTGTTATTCATCCGGCCGTAACGCGGTAAACGATATCTTCGCTAGCGCTATGCATGCAGTCATATGTCTATGCATGCAGTGCATTAAAAATACAGCGCGAACAGCGACCTCACGCGACCACTATTTTCATGCAAATCAGTTGGACCCAATCTAGCGCCTTGGTTCAATCGTCCATGTGAGGTTTTGGGGGTGGTGCTCATTATGTTAATAGCCTTAGCTGACCTTAAATGTCGTTTTCTTATTGGTCGATCGTTGCGTGGAAACTTGCATAGTGAAACGTGGCACCGTACATAATCCATACACGTACACGTTGTGTGTCTCTGCACACGGCACCAATGCACAAAAACTGTGGTTCCTGTCACGTCCGCAAAAGGCGAATAGCTGCAAATAATTTGATGACGTCCGGATTTACCAAGGTGTGATTGGACACTCCACATATTAGCCCCGCCTACACATATCTGTATTCGCATACGAGGTCGTGCGCTAAATAATCCAGCGCAAAATAAAGAAAAACATAAGCTATTGCCGACGATTGAACCAAGGCGCTGGGTCCAACTGATTTGCATAGAAATGGTGGCCGCGTGAGGTCGCTGTTCGCGCTGTACTTAGCACCGCATGCATAGCGCTAGCGAGGATATCGTTTACCGCGCTACGGCCGGTGTGGCAGGTAATTCTGTCCCCCCTGGTAAAAGTGTCCCCCGGACAAATTTACCGGCTCGTGACCTGGTAAATCTGTCCGGGGGGACACATTTACCTAGGTAGATCTGTCCCCCTCCCTGGTAAATATGTCCCCCTGCCCAACGTTGAAAGTGTCCCCCTGGTAAATGTGTCCCCGTGCAAGTATCACCTATGCGATGATACGTGAGTGCGCATCGCCGCAAGTACATGCTGCAAGATTGTGGCAGCGTTTATCGCATGTGTACATAATGTATCCCGCTACACAAAGGAAATTCATCCAATAGGAAATTTCGTTACGCGCTACGATGGAACGCAGACCAATCCAAGTAGGCGTTATATCAATGAGGCGTCCACCGTAGAATAGGCTACACCGTACTCGGAATCGATCGAAACATTGTGTTCACATTTCACATCTAAGAAAGAGACCAACAAGTTATTATTTTTTTTTCATCTTCATGAAGGGCAGACTAAAGAGTAAAAAATGTATACCTTGTAGAGTGAATTCATCAAAACAATATAGAACACTCGTCTTCTGCGTTGCAAAACTAGGGGGACAAAATACCTGGAGGGGACAGAATTACCTGAAGGGGGACAGAAATAACGGGCCGGGGAGGACACTTTTACCTAGGTAATTCTGTCCCCCCGGACACTTTTAACGGGGTACAGAATTACCGTCCACACCGGGATGAATAACAACTAGCGCCTTGACCAAGGCTATAATCCTGAGTGCAAACCAAATTTCTTAATTGATCGATAGTTTATCGTGTACTGAATAGGATTCGCATACTTTAATAAGAACAATAATTGGTGCTAAGTCCACTTAAGAAGCCAGCTAATTAGCGCTAATTGCACGTTTTAATCATAATTACGAGTGCAAGGATAAAACAAGTTTCAATGTGTACCTTACACCGTGCTGGAGCAACATTCATCACTTAAGAAAGTTTCAAGTGGTGCCGTTCTTACTTAAGAAAGGTTTAAAGGTCACTAGGGGTCAATAAACACCAATATTAACAATAACGTTGAGTGCAACTTGCATTCATGACTTTTTTGTGTAGATCAACAGTTTATCATAGACCGATCACTGATCACGTGCTTAAGAACAGGATATATAGTGCAAAGTCCAATTAGGAAGGCCTTTAATTAGCGCTAATTACACGCTTAATCATAATTACCAGTGCAAGTATAAAACAAGTGTCACTGTGTACCTTACACCGTGCTGGAGCAAAATTCGTCACTTAAAAAAGTTTCAAATGGTGCTATCCATGCTTAAGAAAGGTCAAAGGTCACCAGGGGTGAATAAGCATCAATAAGAACGCTAGTGCAACTTGCATTCATGTGCGGTTCATTATGGGCCAATCACTGATTACACGATTAAGACCAAGATAATTATGTAGTGCAACGTCCGATCAAAGAATTTGATTTACATGTTTTATAAATAATTAGAATGATAATTAGGAGTGAAATGGTAAAACGAGCGTCAGTGTGTACTATACCCCACGCAGGAACAAAACACACCACCTACGAAATGTTTCAATATCACAAACTGTCCTGGAGTTGAGTGCAACAAATTACCTCTATACCCTCTCCATCACGAATGGATGTACGAACTTAATGTGGAGAATATGAGATCACCGGAGTTATAGCAATTGTAGTAGTTTTGAATTCAGACATGGTTTGCATGTAAGTTGACAATAATCAATATTGAGAACTTTATTGATGATATCATTAACATTGGCTGATGGGCTGCTTTGAAGATTGGGTAAAATGCTTAGTTGATTGGGTTTTTTTCTATTAACTTATTATAAATTCCTAAATTACTTGGGGCTGCCCGTATAATAATCCTAACTTAGCATGCTTAAGGTACAAAAATAAAGCCCCCCCCCCTCCTTGATTTGACCGTTGGGATGTGGTCCATATCACACGAGGCAAATTGTTTACGGAGATGCATTTTTGTTACAACATGCACAAAGAAGATTCTCGAAACATGATGTTAAACGGAAATTCGTTGTTTTCTCCTTAGAAACTAATCGGTTACCAGTAAAGTACCTCGTGTGACATGGCTCTAACCGTTCCTACGAATAGTGTAAAAAAAACTGCAGTGAGGCTGTTTTTGCAAAGAATGCACTCATATTTGACCAAACGTCGTAATGGCATAGAGACTGACGGGATATTCCCCGACGAAAAAGACTCATTCACGTGATCAGGAATGTGTGAATAGATGAGAAAGCGACGAGGAGATGAGAGGAGGGGTTTTCTTATCTTCCTCCAAAGACAGCCCTTCCGCCTCGTCATCAGACGACACGTTAATATCATCACTGCTCTCGTCGCCACAGCAGCTGTCGTCATTATCATCGCTGGGGACCATGTTCTCCTCGAACCATGTGATATCGTAGGAGCCATCTTCCATTGCCCATCCATCGCTGGCGACTGGATGTTGAACAATCTTTTGTTCCATCAGCCAGTGTTAATGATATCATCACAATAAAGTTCTCAATATTGATTATTGTCAACTTTAATGCGAACCTTGTCTGAACTCAAAACTACTACCAAGTTAAGATGCTATAATTATAAACTCCGGTAGTCTCATATTCCCCACATTAAGTACGTATTACATCCATTAGTGATGGAGAGGAAGTTAAGAGGTAATTAGTTGCGCTCAATTTCATGACGGTTTGTGATATTGAAACATTTCGTAAGTGGTGTGTGGCAGTTTACTGGTAACCGATTAGTTTCTAAAAAGAAAACAGCGAATTTCCGTTTAACATCATGTTTCGAGAATCTTCCTTGTGCATGTTGTAACAAAAATGCATCTCCGTAAACAATTTTCCTCGTGTGATATGGACCACATCCCAACGGTCAAATCATTAAGCATGCTAAGTTAGGATTATTATACGGGCAGCCCCAAGTAATTTAGGAATTTATAATAAGTTAATAGAAAAAAAAAACACCAATCAACTAAACTGCGTACTTCAAAGCAGCCCATCAGCCAGTGTTAATTGTCAACTCCAATGCAAACCTTGTCTGAACTAAAAACTACTACAATTGCTATAACTCCGGTGATCTTATATTCCCCACATTAAGTTCGTACATCCATTCGTGATGGAGAGGGTATAGAGGTTATTTGTTGCACTCAACTCCAGGACAGTTTGTGATACTGAAACATTTCGTAGGTGGTGTGTTTTGGTCCTGTGTGGGGTAAAGTACACACAGACGCTCATATTTCACTCCTAAGGCCTGTTTCAGACTCGTGCTTACGCCGTGTCGAATAAAATTGAATTTAGCGCGAAGTTTAATAGCACGGCGTTAGCGCGGCAGTGGTTTCAAACGTCGAACTTAATTACAAACAACTAGCCAAATTTAAATACATCCATCATGGTGGACCAGCAGTCACAACAAAAAACGTGATTTGTGCTCTAAGGCCTTTTTTTTTTAGAAGTCATGCTTTTGCCGTGTCGAATTCAAATAAACTCGAATATTATTTATTCGACACGGCACAAGCATAACGTTTGAAACCAGTACTGATTTCGGCTCGGCAGAAGACCTAAGCTCGACAATTTACGGCAGTAGCGTACGGCGAGGTTTCAAACGTCGTGCTAGTGCCGTGTCGAATATAATTTCAATTCGAAGTTGGCCGGCCAATTTCGAATTGAAATTGTATTCGACACGGCAGCAGCACGACGTTTGAAACCGTTCGTCGTGATAATGCCGTGAACATCGTTTATAATTAGGAATGCGCATGCTCGAAACATGTGTACGAGTAAAGAAATAGTCAACTAACACACGCATCAACAAATATGGCGACTTGCAAGGAGAATTTTCAAGAATCATAGGGATGCATACTACCTGTAAATGGGCCTTAACCCATTTCGAGAATTTCTCGAAAAGTCAATGGTCAACCCACCAAAAATTGAAAAGAAAATGGCACACCATAGCTTTCATCCGGAAATAAGTACTTGATCTATGGAGTACCTGCTGAATCAAAATTCGTTTTCTTCGTGCAACTCTAATCTAATCGATTAAGACCACAAAATGACATCTTTGACTGTGACTGTTGGTCCGCCATGTTGGATGTATTTAAATCCGACTAGGCGTTTGTAATTAAGTTCGACGTTTATTCATGAGCTCGGCGGATAGATTTAGGCCTATTTACTGGTGTGCACCCTTATGATTCTTGAAAAATTTCCATGTAAATCGCCATATTTGTTGATGCGTTTGTTAGATGACTATTTATTTACTCGTACACACGCTGCGAGCATGCCCATTCCTAATTATAAACGATGTTCACGACAGTAGCACGACGCTCGGTTTCAAAAGTCATGCTTCTGCCGTGTCGAATACAATTTCAATTCGAAGTTGGCCGGCCAACTTCGCATTGAAATTATATTCGACACGGCAGTACTAAGCACGACGTTTGAAACCGCGCCGTGCTACTGCCGTACTAAATGATAAGCACGGCAGACCTTGTCGAGCTAAAGTCTGCCGAGCCGAAATCAATTATTGGTTTCAAACGTCGTGCTTGTGCCTTGTCGAATAAAGAAAATTCAAGTTTATTTCTATTTGACACAGCATAAGCACGACGTCTGAAACAGGCCTAAGTATCATTCTAATTGTATATTAAACATGTAAATTACCTAAAGTTCTTTTTGATCAGACGTTGCACTACATACTTATCTTGGTCTTAATCATGTAATCAGTGATTGGTCCATAATGAACGGTTGATCCCCACATGAATGCAAGTTGCACTTATATTGTTTTTATTGGTGCTTATTGACTCCTGTACTGGTGACCTCCTGCACCATTTGAAACTTTTATAAGTGACGAATTTTGCTCCAGCACGGTGTAAAGTACACATAGACACTTGTTTTATCCTTGCACTCGTAACTATGATTAAAAAGTGTAATTAGCGCTAATTAGCTGGCTTCTTAAGTGGACTTAGCACCAATTATTGTTTTTAAGTATGCGAATCCTATCCAGTACACGATAAACTTTCGATCAATGAAGAAATTTGCTTTGCACTCAGGATTATGATTAAATCGATTTTTTGGGGAATATAAGAGGCTTCCCCCCCCTCTCAACGCACCACTGACCAAACTTAAGAAATCCCATTTTGAAGTTGTCTCAGTCATTCCTATACATAGGCATATCCCACGCTTCAAACCTTTTGCTCTCACAATTATGATTAAACCTCGCTGGGCTCCCGTACTATGCGTGTTGTGCCCTTGAGTAAGGCGCTTTACCTCAATTATTACTCCTCTCAACCCGGGTACCGGCATTATTCAATGCTGGGAAGGTAACAGACTCGCTGTGGAGGAGGTGTGGCGACCCCCCCCCCCCCCCCCCCACAGCAGCATATTAGTCTGGTCCAATCGCTAAAGAAAGAGAGATGGGCACTCCGTTCCTGTTAACACAGGTTCGTCCTCTTTACTTTACTTTTTTTTTTTACTACTTTGGCCATACAAAGAATTCTCATCTTCTCCAAGTTTTATGCGAGGGTCACATGGGTTCGCAAGGTATATCTATATGAAGTTTGAAATTTGCATAATCACTAGAAATCTTCAAGTAATAGGTATCCACAGCACTGCCGCTTCTGGCTTTTCGTAGTGATACGCCGCTTATGTACCACGATTCACCTGTGAACAAAGAAGCTACATTTTGTACATACCCGCATACACGAGCTCCGTGTTTGCATCACTCGGGCAAGTAGTGCGCCCCCATCGGACGTAGGTCTCGCCCCCAGACGGCTTCACGTCATGCGCGCCCGACTCCTGATTTTCTGTCACAGTAAGGGGCAAAATAATGGATAGAATAATTGTATCGTAATATTCCACACAAAAACAGAACTTTTTTTTTGCGGACAGATCGGAAGTATGCAATGAAGGTATACGGTACGTTGCAATGCGGGACACTTCATGCACTGCGGCATAACAGTCTCGCAATGCAGCATAACATACACAGAAACTGCACGTTTCCAATCAAGCGGCCATTCGTGAAAATATCTATGAAACTGTGTGTGATTGATTAATCTTGTACTGTTTGTAGCTCATTACCGGCTGTAAGTGATGAATTGCCGTCGCCTAGATCTCGCTTGGCCCGTCTGTGCAACATCATGTCTGATGAGCCTCGATCCGTATCAATACCAGGATCTCCCTGTTGAGGTCAATTTTGAATTAGTTAACAGCATCACTGGAAAGCTCAAATCAATTTATTTCACTGATGGGAAGTATTTCGAGTTGGTAACTTTGTCAAACAGTTTTTTTTTTATTAATAAAATATATATATACTACAATACTTGTCAGGGGCGGACCGAGGATTTTCATAAGTGGAGTGTCTGGGGAAGGGGTGTTGAAGTCCAAGACTTCAAAAAGAAAAGGGAGGGTAGGGGTGAATTCGGAGTTGCAATCAACGCATAAAAAGACCACCTGCCTAAGGTAGCGAGTCAGTCAAGATTTGCAATATTGAGTGATAAAGCTATTCGGGGAGCTTTAAACCCCCCCCCCCACAATGTAAATAATTAACATTGTTCGCTCGGAGGGAAAGGTGGTGGTCATCCAAAAAGCGGACTTTATTTTTACCTTTTGGCCCTTCATTCCTGTTGGGCCGGCCGGTCCCGCTGGGCCCTGGGCCCCGTCCTGTCCATCCTTACCGTCTCTCCCATCACGACCGTCCCGGCATAAAGCAGCACCTGCATTTCCTGGTCCTGCTGAATAAAGCAATTCTGTATTTTGAGATGAGGTTTAGACTTCGGGCCAAGATCAAAGCGACATCATGGAAACGTAGTTAATGCAAAGTGTGTTGGTTATAATGGACGCCGTATAGGTATCACACCTGTGTCATTTTTCCTTTTTTTCCCAAAAAGGGAAATTGTATGTCTTTAATATCGAGCCCTATTCTCAATGAAGTAAAATGCCAATTATTCCCAATTTAGGGCTCTATGGAGGATTGTCTTGATTAAAAAAGTAATGGTTTATGATTAAGAGCTTTACCCACCGTAACCTGGAAGGTGCGTTTCATTTCGTTGGACGCTGTGGCCAGACGACACTTGAGGCTGCCGATCTCGTCTCGTTCGCAACTGGGCATCCTTCCAAGTTGGGACGTCTTTTTCCCCGGCTTCTTGTTTCGACGAGGCACCTTCCAACCATGCCAAACGCTCTTCGTGAATTTGCATCTGGTCCTGTTTAAAAAAAATTAGGAAAACCTATAAATGCGGGCTGACAGAGATTTCGAGCGGGGCTATGAGGCTATCGAGACTTCTGTACATCAGGATCTATGACGTTGCTTTCGAATCATTTGTGGAGCGTTTTGAGAAAGTTCGTCTTGACGGAGTGAAGTGCTTGAGAGTTGAATTTAATGCTTAAAGAGACATTTTTTGAACTCAAAGTCTACATACAGTTCAGTATTTAGGGGTTTCCTCTTCCCCATACTTTTGTGTGACGAGAGTCAGCTTTCGTCCCCGTTGTTTCGTCTATGTCCGGTCGTTTGTTGGAGGTGAATTCGTCCCGCGTTCCAGTTAACCGTCAAAGAACTGTCTTCGCCATCCCTGGAGTCGTCCTTCGCTGCAGAGTCTACCTAAGTCCTCGCCAGTAAGATCTTGTTATGGATATGATATAAGATCTTTCCTTAATTGTACACTAGCATAACCTAATGTGCGCTTGTTAAACCCTATTGACACTTGAAGTGTTTAATATTGTCATTATTAAATAAATTGTTTCTCTTTAAAAGTCAGGCTTTTTAAGTAATTTACAGTCACGGATAGTTTGGAGATTTTCTTGTTTCCTTGTTGTAGGATAACAAACATGGAACAGTTTAATACAACAGCTTGTTCATGGGGACAGATGCTTGGGGTAATTTAGCATCCTCCGTTCGTTCTTCCCAGCCCATTTATTTTCTGGAGGCCTAAACGATAAATAACTTCTAAGAATCTCTATATAAAAGGCGAAGAAAATGTCTAGCCAATTAAAATAATTTAAGCTTTTCTCGAATTTTACGAATTAAGTTTTGAAAGATCGGCAAGTAAATATAACTCCGTAACATTTCCTGAACCTTTGCCCATTCAAACTGATCGTGTAGCTACCAATTGTGGTTTCTTCCTTCTCTTTAAATGATTATAGTTTGTCAAAAAATACATATGAATAATACATATTTGTAAAAAATAATGTTGCAATTTTTTTTTTGAAAATAATAATTTGACAAACTTATTTGTAAACAATGCAGGCAAATAAATATATTTATGTATAAAACAAAATGCCAAACAGTTATTTTTATATAATTGCCCTAAAAGAAATGCATGATATGCAAATTATGTTTTATTTAAATAAATAAGCCTAAAAATGAGGAATATAATGAATATTATATAAACAATTTTGTTAAGTAATTTATTTACACATGGCGCCTCATACTTTAAGACGAACATCACGCCTATGGGCGGACATCGCGCCGTGATACACACAGACCGCGCCGGTTACGGACGGACATGGCGCCGCGATACACAAAGTAAACACACACACATACTGAAATTTGTATTCTTGTAGAAACATTTCTTTGTTCTCGTGTAGTAAAGTTTTCGAGTTTGAAAGTGAAGTTTCTAAATGCTCTTATTTTAACAAGAATTAATTTCCTTGGCTAAAATTTGGGCTTAATATCCCTTTTCTAAAACTCTTCCATTCCTAGGTTTTGAGTAAAATCCACAGATCTATTTCGTGAAAATCTTGTGGAGACGTATTCATCTATAGACATGTCCTGTAAAGACGTATACAATCTTTTGTTCCCTATTGTACACACGTCTCCAGAGGACACGGTGTATCAGATCATCATGGACGGACATCGTGCCACGATACACTCATATCGCGCCGGTTATGGACGGACATCGCGCCGCATTAGTGACCTCAATGGTACATCATACTATAGCCCCCCCCCCCATGATCGGACCTCAATTGCTCCAGCGTTCTCTGCTTTCTCAGACCACTCAGAATATTCTTGTTTAGTTAAATTTAATTGTTTTGTTATTTCTGATTTGATATAATTTTTGTTTGCGCCATGAGCGTCATTTATGGCGGATAATGGCGCGGTATAAATTGCCGTTATTATTATTATTATTATTATCTATGCCAGGGTTACCATTCAGATTTTTCATCAACAAAGTTATCAGTGACGTTCCCACTATGTGTCCTTTTTATCACACGATATTGTTAAGCATGACCGACGACTCTGTAAGGCTTTTATCCGTTTCAGACTGGCGTTCAAAGTTCTAACCGGAACCAAAAAAGTACCATGAGCGACCGCAGTCCACCAAGATAAACTCTAGTTTAAAACATTTAATCTTTATGTTTTAGTTTCCTGTTGAAGACTGTGGAGTCTTTCCAAAATAATGACTGAAATAATCGATCTTTGACAAATTGCGCATGTAGTCGCCAATTACTGCTTCGAACGTCAATCTTTCTAATTCGAATCTCAGAAACATTTTGTTTCGGTGAGACGCCGTTACTCCAGTCTGAAATCGGTGTTATAGGAACGTACCTTGAGTGACTGCAGCTCAGTGTTGACGTAAATCATGGTCAGACCGACCGAGGCCGCGATGATGCACACATTCAGCAGCGTTCCCACCAAAAACTGGAGCCAGAACCTCCCGTTCTTAGCCGGGTACTTCTTTCTAATGAGATATCCTCCATCGACAGATACCTCGGAAAGCTTGTGATTGGGAGCCATGTTGTCAAGTAACTGAGGATAAGAATGCTGCACTGCCGCTCGATCCCAGGACTCTGACTGACAGTGAGCTTGTCAGTCCTGGCAATTAAACAGACTTTGGGGTTTTCCAAACATTGGCTTCCTCCCGGCTTAGGCTCCAGGAGGTTTGCGAACACTTCTGACATCGGATTCTGACTCAAAATAGGTCCGTGTTCTGCTTCTGGTACGTCGTCAATCCAATGATATGAGGCCACAATTGCAATTCCATTTTGGTTTGAACATGAAAGGCCGTAATAGTTTGAATCCACAGGTGAAGCCAAACCAGCAACGAAGCCGTGGCTGTTAAAATCCCTCTGTAAGCGGTTACGCATCTGGTGCGGTTCCTTTTAGATCAACCATAATGTGATGCCTATTGTTGATGAGGCTTGAACATGATACCAATCGGATTTTTATGGAAGCAAAACAAGGAACACGAGGAAGCGAAACGTTTGGCAACTTGACAACAAGCCACGTACGGAAGAAAGGTTTCAATTGAAATTGTGTCGTACAGGTACAGACAGAATAATGTCAACAAGAACCGTAATGGATACAAAGTTCATTTCAAACAAGGACATTGCAGATGGCAATGTGGTGTACCTTGAGCATTTTGTTCGGGGCGGAACTAGTTCAGGAAACGGGTGCAGGAGGGATATGATAGGGCGGGGTGAGTGTTGAAGGTACGCCTTGCTAGGGGTACAGGGGCATGCCGCCTGGAAATTGTCGAAATCTACGATGCTTTCTCCTGGCATTCTATGGCAATTTGAGAATAAACTTAGGAACTTTAGCATTCCATTTATTATTTTTGTCCCTTCCCCCCCCCCCTTTTTTTTTTATACAATCATCAAACATTAGCCCTCACACCTAAATCAGGTTTTTTGGGAAATGTATTTCCAAGTTTCTGTTGTATTTGCTGCTGACGCTGCAGCTATAATTGTCCGCTGTTGCTTTCTTTGTGGAGTTGATGCGGCAGCATGAATGGGGCGCTGCAGATACTAGACTGTTTCTGTATATATGGGCCCCACAGCCACCTGTAGTCTGAGGATCAGACATTCACGTGTGCAGAGCCACGATCGAACGTCTGATATATCCCAACATGCAACTGTTATGCGACCCCGCACGCCAGCCAATCGGAGTCGACTTTAGAAACTGTGAAGTCAATTTCGATCAGAAAATATGGACCAAGTTGTTGATTGTTCAATATGGCTGCCAGGTTTGGTAACACAACAACGGGTTACCGAAGATCCGATATAGAAGGGCTTAATGCCTGAAAATTTGCTTTTTCTGGCATTGAAATCTGAAAGTCTTGTTACTTTATTTCTGTTGTGGACGCAACTTTCCTGGTAACTATATACATGTAACGAAGGGGGAAAAATCTTAAATTCTCCTGGAGAACAAGCTCGAGACAACCGAAGTTTAGAAAATCCCTTTTTACTCGGAGTACAAATAAATATGGGCATAGTCCGGGTTTGCAAGTTGTGGGTTTATATTATGTGCATCTGATAACAGGGTGCATTTTGAACTTGCATAACGTCTTGCGTTTTTATTAACCTTCTGAGTATAGAAAGATATATATTTTATGCACTACATTAATTTTCTTGTGTTTAATATTACTGGTGTATTACTGATGTTTTGCAGCGTGCCTTAAAACAGCACCACGCCCTTCGTAAAACATCCTTAATCTTATTACTGTTTGTACGCACTACTACGTTAAGATAAGTATTGTGCGAAAGCGTGTTTTTGTGTTTAATAGGAAGGGGCGTAATCATACATGTCGCCACTACATTTTAAGTTAAATGGAATGGAGTTTGGCCGCCACCATGTATTTAAGTTTTTATCAGACTTGTGTTTTCTTAAAAAGAAGTGGTTTTCTGGCTAGGAAAATAGCAAGGAAGAACCGGTTTTGTGCAGGCAAAATTCAGGAAATAATCTGTTGATATTAATAACTTGTTGGAAAGTTCCAAGGTCATTCCAAGAAAGTTGCCGCCGTGAATTAGGGTTAAAACATGGGAGGGGGATGGGATTTGCTATCAGCATCAGCAGGGCCGTTCCTCATTCTTTTCTTTTTATGGGATGTATGATAACATTGGAGTACGAGGGGCTCTGCGAGCTGATGAATCTTTTTTTGAAAACATTGTGTTTGCAACCAGCTAGGGAAGATTTTCGTTTATTTAAAACTTACAAGCACTGGTATGGATACCTGTGTAGTTATATGACTAAACTGCCTAGAGCGTATTTGTTAAGGTTTTTTTTTCCTTTTTTGGAAATTCAATACGCATATAGGGAGTAAAATCAGTTCCACTGCTGGGTTGCGGTAATGGGTGGGTTATAACTTGTCAACACATACCTCGCCAGCGGGCCCATTAGATTGGTGATAACCGGAGAGCGGGAGTTTCAAAAAAACTCATCCGGTGTTTAGGCGACGCAGGGACTGGTTTGTGTACATGTGGTTTTTGTTTCTAGTTCACTTAATGTTTTGATTTATACCGGTGATAATATGCCGTCCCACCTGTTTTTCTTTTTTGTGTGTCGGGGGAAACAGTGCATATTTTCTGTGCCCTTTTTACGCACTTCATCAGTCACCCTTTGTTTAATTCTTTTGTACGTATTTACTTTATTGCTAATGATGGTAAAGAATATTTTACGCGTTAGCTTTTCTTGTAATGATCAGACTAGGTGGATTCCTTATTTTTTATTTTTTATTTCGAAATCCATGCCTAAATGACCATTATGTTAGTTCTGTTCTTCAAGAAGTTCCAAAAGGATTTGAACGTTCTCCTCATCCAAGTTTTTTTCTTGGTTGGATGGTGGAGATGGGTTAATCCTTGAACGGACCAGGCCATCTTTTATGTTTTTTTGTCGTTTGTATGCCAGGATGGGTTGGGTTGCAAAGAGTGCACTGAGAAAATCATTATCGCTGATCAGATTCCAGTGTTTCAGAAGGGCCTGCTTAAGAGCTGGGTGTTTAATTTGTGGGTTGTAGGGTAAAACAAAGACCAGCGGGATATTCTTTTCGGTTTTTGCACGCTTTTTGGAGTTCACGCGAGTTTCGCCTTTTTGGGGAAGAAGGGCTAAATCTTCTTGGTTGTATCCGCGTTTTTGTAGTTTGTCTTTGAAGAATTCAACCTTCTCCTCAAATTCTTTTGAGTGTGTGCATATACGGTCATATCTCATTACTTCTCCCTTAATCAAGCCGCCAAATACTGACTCAGGGTGGGCTGAATCTCGAGCAAGATACTGAAAGGTATCAGTTTTTTTGGTTGCTACTCGAGTATCCAATTTCCCTTCTTTTTTGAACCGTTCGCCTTTGTAGATGACGAGGTCGAGGAAGGTGACTTGACTGTTCGAAATCTCTGACGTGAACTTGAGCGTGGGATGAATTTGGTTTAGAGTTTGGACGAGGTCACCGGCTTGGTCTTCGTTACCGTTAAATATTATTAAGACGTCGTCCCTGTATCTCATGTAACTCACAATTGAAGGATTGTGTGGGAGAATGATTTCTTGTTCATATTTGAACAGGGTTATATCGCATATTTCTGGACTGCATTCGCTTCCCATAGCCACGCCAATTTTCTGTCTGAAGAACTTTCCATTGAATTCAAATATGTTTCGATGCATGATAAGTTCCAGGAGACAGCGAGCGTGTTCTCTTGTAGGTTTGGGTATTGCGTACAGACTGTTATCGGCAACTTCAAGTGCATCGCAGACTGATTCAATTGCCTCATCTTGTGGGCAGTTTGTATACATGGACACAATATCCAATGTGATCAATAGGCTATCCTGCTTCAATGTCACGTTGTTAAGTTTTTCAAGCACATGCCCGGAATCGCGTGTATATGTGCTTTGTTGTTTGACAATCGGAAGCAGAAAATAGTCTATGTATTTTGAAATTGATTGAGTCGGACCTCCGCAACCACTAATAATAGGCCTCCCCACAAACCGCGTTTCTTTGGGTGCTTCTTTGTGAACTTTCGGTAAGAGGTAGAGGCAAGGAGTTTTGATGTCGTGGTTGTCATGGTTGAGAAACTCAAATGTTTTTTTGGATATTACTCCATCAATGTGAAGTCTGCGTATGGCTTGAGCGACCTGTTGCGCGGTTTCCCCAGTCAGATCCCTATCAATCTCTTCATAATGTGGGCCTGATAATTGTCGTAGCCCCTCATGTATATAGTCTTGTTTGTTTAGAACACATACACCGCGGCCTTTATCGAATGGTTTTATGACTATGTCTCGTCTTTGCTTAAAGGGAAAATACAACATTTGCAAACATCAAAAAATAAAACTACCAAATCATTTTGAAATACCTTGCTGGACTGTTAGTGAATGACAGTGTAAAGCATCCTGTAAAATCATGGCACCTGGTATACTGTCATTTTCAAGAAAAGTGCTATTTTTGTATCAATTTCCAACGCTGATCGGCCGATCAGCGTTGGAAAAAAATGGCTTTGGAAAAGTATTGCGCGAAAGCGTTTACGCCACCAGAGCGCCCTCTTGTGGTTTACTGTTTATAATCTTCTAATCCTTATCGAATCACGTCGTTTCCAGATAGTTCTTGTTCTGTAAAATCTTTGTTTATGACTCCTTATCATCATTTGCCTTAATTATCCAATTACCAGGTTAATTTTAAATACCCCCTATGCGTGAATTACAGAAAGTGAGTACAAATTTGGTTGATCTAGATACGATATTTGGGGGGATTTAACTTCATGTTTTTTGTTTACTTTGGGTTGCAATTTACGCTGTAATAAGGCCAAATAAAAAAAGAACATGTTTAGCGTCCTGCCTTTTTGAAAAAAGGAGGCCCTTTTTTCCCCTCCAAAATGGCCGCCCGAACGGGCTATTTTTCAAGATGGCCGCCAGCTTCTTTTTTTTTTTTAAATGGCCGCCACTTTGACTCAGGAAATGACATAGGCCTACCAGCTTTAAATGGGCTTGATGCAACAGACAAAGATGCCAAAATGATGTCATTGTTAAAAATGTATCACTTTTTCGTAAAAAAAAAAGGAGGCGTACTCCACAAAGGAAGCGGGCGGGGACGCTAAAAAAGTTTTTTTTAAATTTGGCATAACGTATGGGAATTACATGTCATGCCATACGCGTGCTTATATATACAAGTTTTGTGGGCACTTTACTGGGAATATTGAGTTTCCTGACAATATTTTAGGGTCTTTCCATACATCCTGTGCTATTTTACCAAGGTTTGGCAGTGTTTATAAGCATTTGGGCCCTTTTCCTCCATATTTGTGTTCATGAATGCATGTTTGTAGGCCTACACGTATTGCTAGACTGACCATATCATGGGCACACATAAGTTTACATGTATATTGTTAATCTTTATGACATTATAAGGGTTTCCTTGGCCTGTGCACATAGTAATTTAGTTCCCCTTTGTGTTCATTCCTCCTTTTAGAACCACACACCTACCACGCCCACACGTGATTGTTGGATCTACACATCATATACACACACCACTGGATTTGCATACCGACCACCAACCCTGTACCCATAACCGGAGTCAATAAATAAACCTCTTTCCAGCCCATCACCAGTTGGGTCGCCTACTTCTTTTCAAGTATCTTTTATAATAGGCATGTATTTTTCATAATAAGCAAAGGATAATTATCACTTTAATAAAATTCATGCATCTGAGTGGTATTCTTTGATTGAAAATTATATTATCAGAGTTATATTCACTGGATCGCAGTTACCTCTGCTCGGAGATAGTGTAGATAGTTTTGTAGTCAGGTCCTTTGCCGAGTCCGAGGATACTTAAATAAAAGCTGGTGCAGTGGAACTTAAACCTACCAGAAAACAAGAGTATTTGTCTTTTGACTGCGAGTTGAAATATGAATTTTTGGACAAAAGGTTATGCTGAAAATGTAAACAAGTTTGTAAAGGGATTGGTACTCAAGTCTAAGTCTTTTTTAAACCATGCGCAGTAACACATTTTAAGGATGCGTCTTAGCAAAGCCTTGGTGTTTATAGCTTGATTCCTGTTTACATCGTTACACGGCAGTGGGACTTGGGGAGAGATCCGACTATTCAGCATAGATTGAAATTATTGGGTTTTTTTTTTCAGAAACAACCAAACAACGGGCTTGGATTAAAAAAAACCCCAATAATTATTTCTTACTAAAGGAACGCTCACAACATAAAATATCATTAAGTATTAACCCCTACCGACGTACAGTCATTTCTTTCTACAAAATGAAAAAGGTAATACATGTAGTATACTGACGCCCTCTTGTACGCAACAGTGATTTCAAGACGGGGTTGGGTATAAAGACCGTGCATTGATTTCTAGATGCTACAGACTGTGCATGCTATTTCACGCCCTTCGACATAAGGGGGGCACAGGAGGGAGCCACACTTCCCCTCAATGATGTAGAGCAGCGCGCCGTCCTGGCTGGTCTTACTGCCGGGGATCGCCTCGGGCGCCACGTCCACGCACACAGCTTTGGACCGCTGCTCGTGGCCGTGGTGTCCGGACATGAGAAAGCCTCTGTACTCCTCCGTCCAGTTTTCCGGACAGCCGAGCTTGGCCGGGAAGAGCAGTTGGGTCCCGCGGTCCACGAGGCGGCACACGGCGCACGGGACGTCACGGTTGTGCAGGAACTCGGCGTTCTCGTGGGAGAAGGGATCGAAGCCGGAAACTTCGTACTCCATTCCGTACAGGAAGGAGTTGGAGTTGATCCCGTCGTTGTGAGAGGCCGACCACTCAGGGTCAGACGGGAGGCAGAAGAAATCCACAGAACCTCCCTTGTGAGTATAATGCGCACCCGTGGCAAAGCCTGTGAACAAAAATGACAATATTTTTCGAATAAAGCTTTTTAAAGAACGCATTATCAGTGGCGTAACAAGAGTCTGATCGGCCATTTTTCTTTAGCGAAAGAGGGCGCAGTACTCTCTAAATGTGAAAGAGTGAAAAACCACTCAAAGTTGTCCCCCATTATGGCCCCCTTCAAAAAGAGTGGTAGTTAATTAACTCTTTTTGAGCGGTTTTCACTGTGGTCCATTGTGAAATATTACTCAAAAATATGCAAAACTTTACTCCAAAGGAGTGAAAAATCACACAAAAACAGTTTTCCTCATTCTTTTACATTTAGAGAGCAATGACGCCATTTTTTTGACGCCAACTAGTGTGAATCTCAAGCTTAAGACTATAGTGTACTTTAGGATAAGAGTTAAGATATTAAGCTTTTACAATCTTTATTTTGCACTTGTGGTGAACAAAGAAGCTACATACCCGCATACACGAGCTCCGTGCTTGTATCATTCAGACAAGTGGTGCGCCCCCATCGGATGTAGGTCTCACCCCCAGACGGCTTCAATGTGGGATACACGTCATGTGCGCCTGACTCCCGATTTTCTGTAACAGTAAGAGGCAATAAAAGGATAGAATGATTGTATTGCAACAATACACCTCAAACAGATGAAAATGATGGGACCAGGAAAAATGTGAGACCCTCAAGCGGCTTTGGCGATGAAAGCGTTTTTAACAGTCTGTTTTGTGTCAAGTGCGCACCACGGAACGGACACTGCATAAAAAGTGAATGAAATCTGCTGGTCATTTTATGGAAAGATCCAAAGTGTGCAATGAAAGGTACACGGTACGTTGTAACGCGGGGGACACTGCGCTGCGAATGGGAATTTATGCAGCATAAACCGTCTCTCACATACAATGCAGCACGACAAACACCATGACTGCACATTACCATCTTAGTCCAGCGTATATGTGACAAAATTGTGCACTTTTTCATAAAAGTGTGAAACTTGGCACAGATGTTTATGTTCATGCCAGAAAATGTTTTAGATGTGGAGCCATCGCAACTTTACCCTTTCAGGGGCTCGGCAGCAATTTAAAAAAGGGGGGAGACTCATCATGCCCGCAGTGAAATCGGTTGTTCCCACTTGTCACAAAAGCAGGAAACTTCACAAAGACATAATTATATAGGTAATAAGTGTTTTCTAGATGTGGAGCAACCAGAAAAGTACCCTTTTTTTGGGGGGGGGGCGTAATTATTATGCCCACCTTGGGCAAATTGTGCCCACATTTCATGAACGATTAAAACTTCTCACAAACGTTTATATTCATGAGAAAAAAAATCCAAATTTGGAGCCATCTCAAACAATACCCTTTTTGGGGAAGTGGCGACCATATTAGAAAAAAAGGGGCGGGGTTTTCATTTGGCCCACCATGGAAAAATTGTTCCCACATTCATAAAGCGGTCATTCGTAAAAAAAATATATATATATCTATGGAAATGTGTCAGATGGATTAATCTTGTAATGTTTGTAGCTCATCACCTGCTGTAAGAGACGAATCCCCGTCGCCGAGGGCTCGCTTGGCCCGTCTGTGCATCATCACTCCTGATGAGCCTTGATCCCCATCGATACCAGGATCTCCCTGTTAAGGTAAGATTAGAGTTAGTTAACATCATCACTGGAAAGCCAAAATAAATCATTTAGATCCCTAATTGGAAGTATACTCAAGTTGGTAACTTTGTTAGGCCTACTACGGGTTTTCTTTTATTATGCTATTTTTATGCTACAATACTCTTTAGGGGAGGATCGTGGATTTTCCAAAGTGGGGGTCAGGGATGTGTTGTTGAAGTTTAAAACTTAAAAAAGGGGTAGGGGTGAATGAGGAGTTCAACGCGTGAAAAGTGCCTCTATAAGCGGTTATTAAGCATCTGGTGCGGTTCCTTTTAGATCGACCGTAAACAAATGTATTTGTCCACTGTGTAAATAATCAACATTGGTCGGTCAGAGGGAAAGGCAGGCGCGGATCCAGGGGGGGGGGGGGGGGTTAGTAAAAAAAAACACCCAGCTCTGTCCCAAAAAAAACCATCATAGAAAATCCTTCAAAATAATTCCCCCCCCCCCCCTGCTCTGACACCCCCGAAAAAATATACTGGTAATAATGTCCGCCTGTGCACAAACTACGGACAGAGCCAGCTTGGTTAGGGGTATTTGTCAAATATTTTGTAATATAGTGTTAATAATCGTCAAATTTGAACAGCGCACCCATTGAAAATATGGTACGAGCCCCCCCCCCCCCCCCCCCCCCCCCTTTGATTTGCGGAGGCCAAGCGTCCGGAGAAAAAAAACCTGTCTACATTTCAAAACAAAATTCTGATGACCCCCCCCCCCTGATAAAATTCCTGGATCCTCCCCTGAAAGGGGATGGTCATCCAGCCCAACCATCCCTTCCCTGGACTCACTCTGAACACTTCAGTGTCGTTAAGATCATCTTTAACACAGTGACTTTTACAGAAAATCTTGATACAGTTACGATAGCCTGTCCATCATAATTATAGTAGGCCTACACCTCTTCACCTTTGCGCATTGGATTTGTTCAATAATTCATTTTGTTTACATTTTATCAGGTCGCTTTTTCGATTTTTCTATACTCCAACTAACGAAACTACCAACACAATGACATAATCTTGTACTCTTGGTGCTGCACATTGAACTGTAGACGATTTTTCAAATTTTGCCGGGTTATTTAGCATTTTTTATGAGTGCTGGACACAATACGAAGGCGCTTTTAAGGCCAAAAAAAAAGTCTCCGGTTTCTGGTATGCGCGCGCGTCGCCATAGCCATGGGCGTCGGCAAAATGAAAAAGTTTTTTTTTCAATGAAACAAGATGTCTCAAAACCGCCAAACTCACTGGTTTGACTGGAATCCTGCTGCTGCACAATTTTAACGTGTTTTTAGATGGGGTTATGATCAAGAATAAGCTTTATGTGGCCTCTCTGGTCTCCCATAATATTTGCCCTAAGTTTAGTCAGGCACCATTTGCAGTCATCAGCCGACATTTAAAGCAAAAAAAACAGGTAAAAAAAAAAAAAAGCCGCGTCGCCGTACCACTTTTTGGGCAAGCTCCATACCAGAAACCGGAGATTTTTTTTGGGCCTAAGAGTGCGTAATCTCCCTGTTCATTACCCAACATTTACCACTCCAAATAGTGACCTCCAATTGTGTCCATAATCTAAAAAAAAACACCAAAAGGCTAATGCAGATTTTACCTATAAGCGTCAATTCCAGCAGTTTTTTTTCGGCAAAGGGCAGACCCTATGTTTACCTTTTCGCCCTTGATTCCTGACTGGCCGGCCGGTCCCGCTGGTCCTTGGGCTCCGTCATGTCCATCCTTACCGTCTCTCCCATCACGACCGTCCCGGCAGAAAACAACACCTGCGTTTCCTGGTCCTGTCGAATAAAGCAATGTATTTAGAGATACGAGGTTTTAGATTTCGAGCCAGTATCGTGACTCAGTGGTTAATGCATTGTGTTCGGATAATGGACGCCGTAATGGTGTCATATTATCATTTTCCTTTTTCCCTAAAAGGGAACTTTTCTGTCTTTAATCACTGTGTCTTATCGAGGCCTACTTTTCAATGAAGTAAAATGCCAATTATTTCCGATTTATTGCTCTTGAGGATTTTTTGATTAAAAATTAATGCATATTATGATTTGTAGTTTTACCCACCGTAACCCGGAAGGAGCGTTGCATTTTGTTGGCCGCTGTTGCCAGACGACACTTGAGGCTCCTGATCTCGTCTCGTTCGCAACTGGGCATACTTCCAGGTTGGGACGCCTTCCTTCCCGGCGTCTTGTTTCGACGAGGCATCTTCCAACCATGCCAAACGCTCTTCGTGAATTTGCATCTGGTCCTGTTAAAAAAAAAACCCACCAGTTTCAGGGGCTTGCCCATTTCGCATGAGGATTGGAATTATTGTTGACACCGGTTAACTCATCCTCATTTGAGTGGTGTATTTAATGACTTTGCCAGGTATTTTATACGAGAAACGAGTATCCACATTACTTGGGACATTTAAATTCGGGCGTTTCACAATGCAGTGCGCCACCAAGAGTTTGCCACGGAGAGTCCATTTTTCAAGTTCACGGTCGACAAAACACGGCCCAATTGAACGAGTATCAGTAGACAACTTGAGCTATTTTGTTATAGATTGGGGCATAGCGTACTGCCGCCTTACAAAAAACCCCACCATATTGATAAAAAGAAAAGAAAAAGGCAAACAGATCCTCGAATCATACGCTTATGAAACTACGGACCGGAAAAACTAACTAATTTCAAAAGTCCCGCGCTGCAAATTTGTCGATCATCTCCCACCATGCACTGGAGAAAATGAACTCTCCGTGGCAAACTCTTGATGGCGCACTGCATTGTGAAACGCCCGAATTATTTTCTTGTTTCCACGTCGGACAATCACAAACGTGGAAGAGTGTACGGCAGCTTTTTCGTAGGGAAGGATGCTTGGGGTAAGCATCCTAATTTCTTTCTTCCCTGCACATTTATTACCTGGAGGCCTAAACGATAACTCATACATTACGAATCTCTAAGCCAGATTAAATTATTTAAGCTAATCCCGAATTTTACCGAAATCATTTTTGAAAGATCGCCAAGTGAATTAGTTAACTTCGTAACAATTCCCGAACCTTTGCCCGCATAAACTGAGCGCGTGCATGGCTCCCATTGTGGTTTCCTCCTGGTATTTCCGTCGGGTGATTTATCATGAGTTCAATTGTCGCAAAGCGTCAGGGGGTCACCAGAAGATAGTTCAGGCCGGCGAGTAATGAGTATTCCAACTGCTCAAAATAAATATTATGCCCGTCCCGATTTGACGATTTCCTTTCCCGGATGATCACACCACAGCTATAGCTAAATGTACACAACTCATGGAGGCAATGATAATTGAACAGGCCATCTGCAATATTGTTCATATCATGCAAGGAAAAGGAAAAAGATAGTGTAGGCAGAGTGAACTACATTGCAACTCCCCTTTTTTCGGAGATTCAAACTGAACTCAAAACAAGAAAGATGTTGCAAGCATTGCGGACGTGATATGGTTAATCTGGACGTGCGCATAAGGAGTTCGATACCAAACCACTTATAGATTAATCTACCGAGCTGAGAAGGTGTTTTTGGTCATTTAGAACACTATACAAAATACAACTGTTGTTTAAAAAATTGATTAAATTAAATTGGTACAAAATCAGATGTTGGTCTTAAATATGGAATCCAGCGGCAGAAATCGAGGTAGCAAAGACCAATCAGCGAATTGGGGACTGTATTGTACACAAGCTGATTTACCCGATCATAGATCGGGTAGGGCGTATTTGTGTTGGGGTTGAAAATGTGGGGAGTTAAATGTAAATGGGGATTTAGTTGAGAAGACATGCAGTTATAGAAAAGCAATTTCTGTGGCGCTATCTGAGGCAATTTCTGACCACGATAGTAAAACCACTGTATTGTTTGAACAACTTAAAGATCATATTTTAAACATCATTTTCGAGTTTGGAGTCATTGAATCAGCTATTCTGAGCAAAAGAATATTATAGTAGGCTACAATTTTTATTCGGGGAAGAAAAAGTGGGGGCGGGGGACAAAACGATATTCCCCGCTTTAAAATGTTGGGGTGGAGGTCCCCCGTCCCCCACCGATTGACGCCCATGATAATTATGTACCATGGCATGTATAACTGTCTGTAAAATTTCTCGTTGGTCTGTTAAATTGGCATTTTGTGAGGCAGTCGCATTATTTTGTGGGAAAACTGAGTTGAAAGACTTCCCGTATAGTACACAGGCGAAGGCTGATTGTACAGTTTTGACAATAAATCATAATGCAATAAAACGTGAAGGTGGCATTTGCAATGAAAATGTTGAGTGTGTTACCATAACATTACAAAGTCTGAATCATGGAGGAAGGTCATTATGAAGGTACAGTATTTGACTCTTCAACAAACGTAAACTTGAACTTCTTACAATTTGCGAGACCTGCGAGGAAAAAGTCGATTTAACTGTTTTATTCAAGTTGGTTCAACCCTAATTAATAAAGCAAGGCCAAACAGCCAACAACCGCCAATGGATATTATTATGCACTCTTCGTTATTCCAACCCAACATGGTTCAAAGATTGCGATATTTGAAGCAATGCATCGATCCTTTGTTGATCCCAAAACATGCGCATGCCCCCGAAATTATAACGCGACACTGAATTATACGTGGAGGGCAGCGAACTCACCGTAACGCTCAGCCTCGGTGGAAGCATGGAGCTATAAACACATGGTGGAAACAACAGAGCATTGGTGGGTTCCCCCTGTCCCCCATCGACTTACGCACATGATAATTGTGCACCATGGCAACTGTCTGTAAATGTTCCCGTTGGTCTGTTAAATCGGCATTTTGTGAGGCAGTTGCATTTGGAAAACGTAGTGAAAAGGAGTACACAGTCGAAGGCTGATTGTACAGTTTTGACAATAAATCATAATGCCATAAAACGTGAAGGTGTCATTTGAAATGAAAATGTTGAGTGTTACCATAAAATTACAAACGGTCTGAATCATGGAGGAAGGTCATAATTAAGTTTCAGTATTGGACTCAACAAACGTAAACTTGAACTTCTTACAATTTGCGAGACCGTCTGCGAGGAAAAAGTCGATTCAACTTTTATTCAAGTTGGTTCAACCATCTACATTTTTTGTATATAAGAGCAAGTTTTACTCGGCCTCCGAGAAATGTTTGCTCCTGAAAGGATCCGAGACCGTGGTCTCCCGCGACGCCAAAATGGCTCCACGTCCGTGGGTTTGACTATAGTTTTATAACATTAGTCAGCGACTGAAGGGAGGTTCAAAGGTTGTTTCAATAGACTTTAATAGAGAAGCCGGAATTGATTCCTGCAGCTTCGTCGAGTGTTTCGCTCTATGCGTCTTCTCATCCACATTAGAGATGAAAATTAATATCCCTCCAATTATATTGGAACCAACCCCATTTAGCACCTGGGAATGGCTTATTTGAAGCGGAGGGAGAATGGGGGCACTGCCTCTTACTCTTAAGGCCTGTGCCCCTGCCCGTCCCTCCCATTATTTTACCACAGTTGTTTTAGTACCCCTCCAGAAAATAAAGATAGTTACTAGTCCCCCCGCACAATGTTGGGATCTCAAGTACTCCAGTGTGCTCCGCTAATGCTTTTTCTATGCCAGGGTTACCATTACCTCTATAATTCAGATTTGTCATCAACAAAGTTATCACTGACTTTCCCAACTGTTTATCTAAGCGTGCATTTTATCACACGAGATTGTTAAGCATGACTGACGACTCTTACAGGCTTTAATTCGTTTTAGACTGGCGTTCAAGTTTCTTACCGATCCGAAAAAGTACGATGAGCGACTGAAGTCGCCAATCAGGTTTCAGTTGGGAAATTCCGTGAAATCCAACGCACGTCCGACCACATGATGTACATTTACCAGGTCATTAAGGTAGTGGTACGTTAGGTCTATAATTGTGTTCTACTAATGGTGTTTCCAACAGCAGCCCATTAAAGTATCTGCGATGTACGTCCGAATTTACGGACTTGTCCAACCTCAAAGTTCTTACAGTTTAAAAACTGTGTTTATAGATTTCCTGTTGACAAGACATGGAGTCCTTCCAAACGACTGAAACAGTCGATATTTCGGCGAATCGCGCCTGTTGTCGCCCCAAAATGTTTCGAACGTCCATCTTTTTATAAAAGTCCAAATCTTACACTTTGTTTCGATGCGACTCTGAAACGCCATCGTAAACATAATACAGGCCTACCTTGAGTGACTGCAGCTCCGTGTGGACGTACATCACGGTCAGGCCGACCGAGGCCGCGATGAGGCACACATTCAGCAGCGTTCCCACCAAAAACCAGAGCCAGAACCTCCCGTTCTTAGCCAGGTAGTTCTTCCCCGTGAGATATTCTCCATCGACAGATACCTCGGAAAGCTTGTGATTGGGAGCCATGTTGTCCAGTAACTGAGAATAAGAATGCCGCACTGCCGCTCGGTCCCAGGACTCTGACTGCCAGATACCTAGTGAGTTTGTCAGTGATGGCATACAGACTTTGGGGTTTTGCAATAACTGGCTTCCTCCCGGCTCAGGCTCCAGAGGATTTGTGAACGCTTTTGACTCTGGATTCTGGCACAAATTAGGTCCGTGTTCTGCTTCTGGTAATTCAAATCTTAAATCTGAGTCCACAATTCAAGGAATTTCCTTTTGGTTTGGACCTAAAGGGCTGCTTAATTATTAGAAATCTATGAGCCGAAGCCAGCAACGTGCCTTGGTTTTGAAAACCCCTCTGTAAGCGGTTAATAATCTGGTGCGTTCCTTTTTAGTTCAACCATAATGCCATAGCTATTGTTGAAGCTTAAAGAAGATACAAATCAGATTTTGCGGAAGCAAAACAAGGAACGAGAGGATGCAAAAGGTTGAACCCTCGACATAAAGCCACGGAGGGAAAGTACCATTCGAAATTGTGTCGTAGTTCAACAGGATAAAGACACATTAATGCCAGGAAGAAGGAAGTATACCAAGAAGGATACAGCGCTCAATTTTACACAAGGGCCTTCAAAATGGTAAAGAGGTGTACCTTGAGCGTTTTGTTTACTAAAGAAACGGTCTGGGAAACCTATTTCCAGGTTGCTCAGTGTTGTATTTGCTGCTGACGTTGCAGCTATACATGTACATGTACTTGTTTGGTGTTGCCTTCTTGTTATAATGCAGTTGATGTGGCCGCATGAATAGGGTTTTGCTGGTACTACCCGCCTCTGTGTATTATGGGCCAAACAGCCAACTGTGGAAAACTGCCTAAAATTTGCTTCTTCTTTTTTTTGGCAAAGAAATATGAAATGTCTAGTAATTTTATTTTTGTTTGGATGCAACTTACCTGGTAACTATATGTAATATAGAGTGAAAATCTGAGCATTCCTAATTTTCTTGTTTCCATGTAAATTTCAGAGGAAATTTTCGGAAAAAAATCCTCGAAATTTTCACGAGTGGCCTTATGGCAATCTAGTATCTGAGCCCCAATTGATGATGATGTGTCCTCGCTCACATGTAGTTCGCTGTCGAGACTAATGACATTTCTGATACTGTTAATATATATCGATATCGTTTTGATACCGCTTAAAATGTTATTTTCTCTCTTTTAATAGGCCAGGTCTAAAGACCGTTTAAACAGACACAACCTCCTCTTTTGACAAAGACAGAAATGAAACTTGCAACAGTGCACATCCTCTCAATGCTTATGACAAACCTTTATTTCCAATAGCTAATCATTATTTTGTCTGGGTACAATACAGGGCGCTCTTCAATCGAATTTAATATGCTTTTAACCACACTGTATGACAGGGGTGCAAAATCACAAATATTTTGAAGAATGAACTTTTAATGCATATTATTTCTCATCAAAATGAGAAAATAGTATGATTTGGATCAATACTAAATACCACTCATAGTATGATAATATCGTTTTGACATGTTGACGACATATTTGATGCTGCTGAAATCAACAACATGTCAAGTGGCATATTCCTCTTGTAGTGACTGACAAGGCAACACATTTTACGTAATACGCGATACACTACATTGTATATAAGATGCATTAATATAAATGTGCAGGTCTTTGGTAGACAACAATTTTTAACCAAAGTATGAGTCCATACATTGCTAAGAATTTGAATACAAAACAGAGAAGTTTAATCATGACGTTTTTCACGCGATGAAAAGATCATCTTTGATTGAACAACTGAGCCTCTGCGTATTATGGACTCCGTGCTTGAACATGGCGCTTCGTCACCACTCACGAGAGCTTCAGTATGAGGGACACATCGGCAATTGGTTCATAATCTCTCCCAATGGTCCCTCCCAACTTTCTCTTTATTACCGTTGAGGGCGTGCGCGGGTCCATATTCAGACAGTGGGAGTTTAATGAGGTTTAACTAACTCGTCATCTGTATAAACAAGTTTAACCAGCCCATGTGCACATCAAAAAAAAGTTTCAATAGGCTTTATTCACGAGTCGGCCATATTAAATTGAAAGCGAGGTAAAATCTTAATCTTCATGGCCTATTTAAGATATGGCCGACACAATAGAGGGCGATATTTGGTTTGGGTAAATACAAAAGACTTTAACCAAATCAAACAGCGCCCTCCTATGGGTGTCTGCCATACCTAAAATAATAATCGTTGTGGGTGCTTGTGCAAGGAGCCCACACTCAGGCTTTCAGAAATTGTTTGCTGGGATCTGAACGAACTCCCAATCTATATCTATATGATAACTATAAGCAAGTGACAAGCATTACAAGCATGATAACTGCAAGCATGACAACTGAGCAAGTGCACATCAATGCAGTAAGAGACAAACAGCAAATAATGTTACTCTAGACCATGAAGTCCGCTTCCAGTCATCATTTCCCAGACGTCGGCACAATACTATCGACTATAGAGTGACATGTCAGCCGCCTTAGATGCTGCAGACGGTACAGGTTATTTCACGCCCGTTGACGTACGGGGGGCAATGGAGGGACCCGCAGGCCCCCTCTATGATGTACAACAGTGCTCCGTCTTGGTTAGCGTGACTGCCAGAGACCACCTCCGGGGCTTGGTCCACGCACACAGCTTTGGACCGCTGCTCGTGGGTGTAATGTCCAGACATGAGGAAGCCTCTGTACTCCTCCGTCCAGTTCTCAGGACAGCCGAGCTTGGCTGGGAACAGGTGCTGGGTCCCGCGGTCCGTGAGACGGCACACGGCGCACGGCACGTCATGGTCGTGAAGTACCTCGGCGTTCTCGTGGGAGAAGGGATCGTAGTTGCTTACCTCGTACTCTGTTCCATACAGATGAGATAGCGAGTTCCACCCGTCGTTGTAAGATGCCGCCCAGTCAGGATCAGTGGGAAGGCAGATAAAATCCACGGAGCCGCCTTTGTGGGTGTAATGCTCACCGGTTGCGAAGCCTTCATTGGGATTTAAAAATATGCATATTTCAACATAAAGGAATAGTTTACGAGATCGGGAACAAGGGAATCTCTAGAGGGAGTCAAACGTCCGATAGTATTCAAGATTGTCCGCTCTGAACAGCCCCAATGCAGAGTGTGTCCATCCCTACCACACAAAGAATAATTTACCAAACAATTCTCTTTTAACAGTTCCATAATATCATTGCACGGCCTACCTGCGTACACCAGTTCCGTGCCTGTGTGATTGGGGCAAATAGTGCGCCCCCATCTGATGTAAGTCTCTCCCCCTGACACCCTTATGTTGTCATGGTGGTCACTTGGCTCTAAAAAAAAAAAAAAAAAAAAAAAAAGAAGAAGAAGAAGAAAACTTATCATGTTCACAATTATTGTAGAAATAGGTTGAAATTTACCAAAATCAATGATGACCGAAGTCAACAGAGTTGTTTACTTTGAGTGAACTGCCTTTTCTGAGCGAGCCTGGAATTATAGGTCTACCAAATAACTCACATATTTCTATGTTTTCTAAATTTAAGTTGCATTGTAACTTGCCGGAAGTCATATATCAGCAGATCCGTGTATGGACCATGAGGCGTCCTTCAGAGGGGGTTTCACTGTCTTGACAGGCCTCAGGGTCCAGACCAGTAAATATATTGCCGTAGACCTCAGTGGAATTATGCGCACTTCCCAAAATAAGTATTAAAAATACTCACAACTCTCCGATGCAAGACACGCATCGAATTATACAGCTTATACATCATCTTTCATTTTCTCTTACTTTTTTTTGGGGGGGGGGGGGTGGGGGTGGAATTCAATGACTTTTGGGAGAACTTTCCATCCGAAGATGATCACCCGTCCTGAAGCCCATCGCCATTTTGAAAATTTCTTCCTAATTTCACAGAAATACAAGCTCACAGTCCTGTGTACGGCTGAATTCCACTCTTCTTTTTACAAACCCTCAAATTTATGGCTCACAAAATGTTCTCATACCGAATAATTTGAGGGCATTCAAATCGTGACTTGGCTGGCGTAGGCAATTTTGGACCGATTTACTGGTCTGCACCTCTCAGGGGCTTGGATTTTGTGGGAAAATTACGATTTACATGGACTCGTATAAACATGTGATCCCTACACCTGGGAGCCAGCCTGAAATCAAGGCTACTCACATTTCTCTGTTTATAATTGTCCCAGCCACAATGGTAAACATGCCAGAGATTATCTATCAGCATAAACACATTGCTGAAGTAGGAAACAACTCTGATGAGATGTTTGGCTCGTGTTTTGGGAGGTCCTTTTCACTTTCAGAATAAACCCATTTAACTACATTACGCGGTTTGAAAATCATCCAGGCAGGAGCAAGTTACAGGTGAAATTTAGATACTGGCTCAGAAAGGGTTGGAAAAATCAACATTTGTACAAAGATGAAGAGTGTACTATGCTCTTTGCATTGCCCATAAAAACAAACAGGCCAAGTGGTAATATCCTGATCACTCATTTCGCAAGATCCGGTCATATTTTGAAGGGAGGACTTGGAGGGACTTTATCCCAATAAAGCGCCTTTAAAAAGGTTGATCAGCAACCTCAACGCACAGTTTGATAATTCGAGTAGTGCATTCCCCAGTAAAACAAAAAAAAAAGTAGCCTAATGATTGTATGAAACACCCATTTGAATGAAAAAAGAAATGTTCGAGTTTTTCTCGCGTTCATCCGCAAATAGATTTTCGTGTGAAAAAAAAAATCGGCACAGTTTAGGCCTAAGTTATGGAATGACGACTGCACAAAGTTCGAATTAGTTGCCCGCAGTCCAATAACAATCCAGTTCTTGGAACTGGAAGGGTTCATAACTCTCTTTCACTATCAGGGATCAATTAACGGGACCTGGAACCAGTCTACTTGCATGTCGGCACCGTTCGTGCGCAAAAAAAACAACCCACAAGGCAATTTGTTTTCGGAATGTCGCAGTCGCCTTAAATAGTAAACAAGTGCGAGTGCACGATAAGCTATGGCCGCCTTAGAATGCACAAGCCCGAGCCGCCGTGCCATCCCACGCGAAAATCACGTCCCGAATATTGACCAAAATAAGCCCTGTAATAAGTTTCCCATAAAAATAGCGCGCTCTATACCACGTGACTATAACATTACTGCGCATTATCTTGCCTTTATTTTCAAAGTTTGCATAAACAACTTTACAAATTGTTACAAACAATTTTTGTTAAATATTTCATTTCTTTTTTTTTCTTTCAATTAAAACTTGGTAGTTATATTTTATGGAAAACTTAGGGGGTTCGTTTTTGGTCATTTTTCCGGGGAAATACGTATGCGAAAAAAATAGATGCGCTTGCGCATCGATGGAGTCAAAGCCCGTTTTCCGATAACTATCGTCAAAAGTGCACTTTACTGACGACGGCATGGCATTTGGTCAATATTTAGTCAAAATGTTTTTTGGTCAATTTTCGGGGACCGACAGACCAACCGACCAACCGACCACCAAGTGACATATAGAAGCTCCTGCCAGTGCTTTCGTAAAAATAAAGTGAACAATATTTTTTTGTCAGGAAAAACCTCAGTGTGTAATAAAGGGCCTGGAGTGTGCACCTTTAAATCGTTCATCTTGTTTATCTCTCACATTTTTGGATGTAATATATATAAGGCGAAACGAACCCGTGTCCTCTGAGTCTCCCTTTGGCCCTCTGGGTCCGGCTTTGCCAGGAGGTCCTCGAATTCCAGCAGCACCTGGTAAGCCCTAAAAGTAAGCGAATAAAAACATGCTGGTTTAATCAAGCAAGCCTCAGTTTCATAGGTATATGAGTAGAGTATGGGTTAGCGTAGCGAGAGTCGAGCCCATGTTAGTTTTTGAGATGGTGGACACAAAATGCAACCAAGTGGGGGGGGGGGGGGGGGGGGGGGGGCACGGGGGACGGGCCCCCTGCTGGAGTACTGAGCCCCCACTATGCCTCGACGTTCAAAATTCGGTTAAAATAAAGAATAGCTTTGTGTTGTAAATTGTCTTGCTGACGGTAAAATCGTGTGTCCGTCGGCAAATGTGCCAGGATGAAGAGCGCCACCTACTGGCCGAAAGTGCCCATGATCGTCCGCTTAGAACAACGCCCCCTATAGGAATAACGATGCCGGATGACTAGGAAGATATGATTTCGACTCCAACCCAAATTGAGTTGAATTGTGAAGACTCTGGTTAAGATTGAGGGATTCACACTTGGTCTCTGAGGATCCAGACTCGGGTATGACATCCGAGGACTTTAAGAGGACTAGGACCGAGGACAGACATTTGAACTCAACTCGGAAACAATGTCACTCAAAATTGTTTGAAGGAGCGGTTCAAAATGCAGTGTGCAACCAAGAGATATAGCGCAAATGGCATTTTGTGGAAGAGTTGACATCCGCCAGCAAAAACTGTATTTTGCACACGGACTCGGCGGTATTTCTGGTCTTTGAGAGCCAGTGTACTGCAGCGTAGGAGTTGATTTATGAGGCTTCTAAGCATACTGGTGTGCGCTTGGTAATAAAAACAAACAATGAAGGATTTTGTCTAATTAACGGTTTATGCTGCAGCGTGTCGAAATCGTCCGCATAATCAGCTACAAATCTGCGCGCCAAGTTTGGTGCTTTGAAAAACTTTGTGGCGACTTCTTTGACAACTGGATAATGTCTGAGGAATGTCTGATGGGGATTCTTACCGGTTCGCCTTTGACTCCTTGTGGGCCAGGCTGGCCTGCTGGGCCCTGAATTCCATCTCGTCCATCACGTCCGTCCCTACCATCACGACAGCCTCCATATACAAAAGGCCCTTGATTTTGTGGAAGTTAGAAAACCAAACGATTAAACAAAAACTAGCACGGAAGAACTATTAGGAGCAAAAGTAGCATCCACTTCAATTCAGCAGCAGCAATGTAAAAAAGTAATGCACAAAATCAAATGACGATAATAATTTAAGGTGTAGATCGCGAAGTTAACGGATCAGGCCTGGAGTTTTGATCTTTGAGCAATTTTTTTTCCAGATTCAGAAGGATTCTGCTTTTAAAGTTCGAGTCATCAGAACTTCCCTCCTCTGTGATTTGAATGTTTCAGGTCAAACTTGTCAGTATTTTGGAGTAACTTCTGAAATGAAAATATGGTTTGTATTTTTTTTTCGAAAGGAACAACATTCTTTACCAATGTCCCGTCGAAATGGAAACGTCAGATTTTGGTCCGCGTTGTGGCTAACTGGCACTTGGTCCCTTCGAATTCGCAGTTGGGCATTTGTCGAAGTCGGGTCATTATTTTCTTGTGGCATGGCCCTCTCGACTAATGACAAACGCTCTTCGTTGCTCGCTATTCGTTGCTGATAAAAACAGACACAGTATATGTTGTAATATCGAAAATAAAATGGTCAGCAGAGAGAATCTAATGTGGCGTTCTCCTTGGAGATATTTCATTTAGTGACTATTAAGTTGCTGCATAAACTTCTAGTCGTTGATCCTTCTTGTGCTGAAGTTGTCAAGGGCTGTTGAACTATAACCTACGTACGTCATGGACGCAATTTGGCCTGCAATGGCTAATTTTGAGGAATAAACGGAACACATTTGGAATTCTTTATTGATATACATGTACCATGAGACGTTTATGCGCAATCAATTTGTATAATATAACTTCGCCTTCAAATATACAATTCGTTGAGTGCTACCATTTAGCAGCACCGTGAATTACATGAATTATTGGAACTCACTCATCTATGACGTGGGGGTTGGAGAGCTACAAAACCAGCCTTTTATATGCCACCTCTCTGACAGTTTCAAGTCGATAAATTAAACATACGGATCCACTATTTTCAGATAAGTATTCATTATGTTGATACCCTGTACAGTATATGCAATCGCAATATTTATACGCAGCCCATAAAACTTAATTGTCAGTCATTATAAAATGTATCCCATTTCAATCATTTCATTTCATTTCTTCGCTGTTTTGATAAACATGTCAAAATTAAAACAAGCATCCAGGTTTATACAAATGACTCACCTTTACTGACTGTAGCTCCGTGTGGACGTAGAACACAGTCAGGCCAACCAGGACCGATGTGATGCACAGGTTCAGCAGTGTCCCTGCCACAAACCAACGCCAAAACACTGCATTCTTGTTAGACTGTTTGCTTTGGTCAAACATTTCCATTCCAATATCTGAAGACTTGTTCATTAGTGTCATTGCAGCGATGGTTGAGGTGTACACTCGACTCGCAATGAAGATGTGTCTGGTTAAATTTGACGGTGTCACTTTTAATAGACAGAGCGGTTAAGCCCCGCCCATCGCAAGTGCAAGTGGGCCACGACACAAACACGCTCCATGTTCCAGCCACGTGACGCGTGCGTCATACGTAACGGCACGCATGTCGGGGCATTAATCACCATTATGATTGGTCAAAACATTACAGGGCGGGGCTTAATTAATTTTTTTTTGGCGCCAAAATGTTTCTCTGCGTTGGTCTCTGCTATTCTCATTTTAGAAACAATATTTACCCAGTTGGCATGGTGAAGACCATTTCAGCGTAAACAACGATAAACCCAAGTCACCCTTTGCACCCTAAGCTCATACATTAAATGACATTGTTTTAAAAAGGAACTTACACTGGCAAATTTAACGTACATAAACCGTGGCAATTCGACTTCCCTCGTCTGCAAGGACGATATAGGTCTGCACCATAAAGATTGTCTTACTTCACATAAAGGTTGGATTTTAACAAAGGAAGATTTGCACTGAACGTAAACGGGGAGGGGGGGGGGGCAAATAGCCCCTGCTCTCTTAGCTTTGTATCGTTCAAAACTTCGACCAAATCCATTGAGGGAAAGAGCCCCGTCTCGTGCCCACTGCATATTCTTTTCCTTCAGTACTAGACTTGATGGCAAGTCGTGTAATGCAGTACACGCATGGGATCGCACACGCATGGGGTCAAAAATGTACGTAGCGTCCCCGCTACTAGGACAGCATGCGGTATGTCGTACCCCCGGCACAGAGCTTGGCAGTCGCGCGCGGCGGACGCGATTAAAACCACTCATTACTGACCTGATTTCAAGTCTACTTCAGTACTAGACTTGATGGCAAGTCGTTAGACTATAGTGGTTTATGTCCGTCATCAGCGCCAGAATCCGCAAACCGGCCATGCCACCGCCGTTCACACGCATGGGATCGCACACGCATGGGGTCGAAAATGTACGTAGCGTCCCCGCTACTAGGACAGCATGCGGTATGTCGTACCCCCGGCACAGAGCTTGGCAGTCGCGCGCGGCGGACGCGATTAAAACCACTCATTACAGACTTGATTTCAAGTCTACTTCAGTTCGTATGCGCAAACACTTTGAAGACTGGGGGGCCCAATGTCGGGTGTGCAGCTTATGGATGTGCAGAGGGTAACAAAACTAGTGGATTGACCGCAGGAAATTGTTTTGGGCTACAGGCCTAAGTATAAGATATTGGAACCGGTCGAGTTATGTTACGTTAAGGTGCGTCCTGCCGTATATGAGAAAATGTTCTGTTTCTGTCCCCACTCCATCATCTCTCATTATATTTTATGGCCAAAAGAATACTCTTTGTATGAATTCCGTCTGGCCCTATATTATCGTCTCGGACTACATCGTGCCTATACCTAAATGGACTATTGGTTGTATACAAACTTAAGAGTGGCCATGGGTAATGGTATATTTCCCCAATTATTTAAATGTAATTTTGCCAACGTAGTACACCAACTCTATAGGTGCGTTTGCATGATCAATGAGTTCTTCTATAAGTACTGAGATTCCGGCACGATCGTCAGAGAACTCCCTTACCGCGTTCAAAAGGGTGACAGTTATAATTATGTCGCCCCAATAAGGTATGTCGCCCTAGCATTCAGTAGAATAATAATAAGCATAATGGCAATTTATAATCCGTCACATTAATGACGGTCATGGCGCAATACAACCAGAACAATTCAGAAAATCAAAACAATTCAAAATCAAAACTAAACCAAAAATATTGTGGATATTCTGGAACAACTAAGTCTTCAGAGCAACACGCAAAGCCTTTTGCATTTATATTTCTGTATCCTGTTAACTAGGAAACTATTTAAAATTCATACTTTTCGTCCTTTCTAGCAATGCCAACGTTTCCCCCCTGTTAGTATGTTATTTTACTTCTTTATTAGTAACCAAAATGTAGCTATTGAAGCCAGAAATAAAGTTAAAAGACGGTTTGTATTTCCAAGACAGCTGGGGACATTTTCAGGTTTTTTCCACATGTGGCTATATGGCCCAGGATACAGTCAAGTCAAGTCAAGTATCTCCATCAGTACATGTACATGTATCAGTTGCGCTACACCTGATGTTGATGATGTGTCACTGCTCATAGTTTGATGTTGAGGTTAATGGCATTGTTGTTACGTTGATTTTCAGTCGTTGTTAACATCGTTTTTGATACCACCAACGATGTTATTTCTCTTTAAATGCTTAAGCCAGGTCTAAAGACCGTGTAACCAGACACAATCTCCTCTTTTAACAAAGACAAAATGAAACTTGGAACAGTGCACATCCTCCCCATGCTGATGACAAAACGTTTATTTCTAACATCAAATCATTGTCTGGGTACAATACTGATCGTGCTTTTGGCTGTGAAGTGTTCACGACATTTTGATAACACATTTATGTAAGTAATTTAATGCTATAAACTACATAGTCTATTAGTTGCCTTAATATAAATGTGAAGGTATAAGATCAGCGATACCAAACAATCTTTAAGTACATTGTAATAGCGCATACATTGTTAAGATTTGAATGCAAAGCGAAGTAGTTTAATCAGGATCGACGTTTCTGGCACAATGTAAAGATCATCTTTGATGGAATAACTGAGCCTCTACGTATTATGGACTCCGTGCATGAACACTAGATGGCGCTTCGTCACCACTCACGTGAATTTAAGTATGAGGGACACATCGGCAATTGGTTCGGAATCCCTCCCATTGGTCCCTCCCATCTTTCTCTTTTTTTCCGTTGAGGGGGTGCTGATGCGCGGAGTCCATACCCAGACATTGGGAGTTAATGAGGTTTAACTAACTCGTCATCTGTATAAACAAGTTTAACCAGCCCATGTGCACATCAAGATTTTCAATAGGCTTTGTTTACGAGTCGGCCATATTAACTTGAAAGCTAGGTAAAATTTTAATTTTTGTTGAGGTATTGCCGACACAATAGGAGGGCGATAGTTGGGTAAATACAAAAGACTTTAACCAAATCAAACAGCGCCCTCCTGTGCCTGCCATACCTCAAATAGGCCAATAATCGTTGTGTTTGTGCTTATGCACGGAGCCCACACTCAGGCCTATATATTTTGTTTGCTGGGGTTTGAATGAACTCCCAATCCATATCTATATGATAACTATAATCAAGTGACAAACATTACTAGCATTATAACTGCAAGCATGACAACTGCGCATGTGCACATCAAGACACAAACAACAAATAATCATCATGAGGTCCACTTCCGGTCATCATTCCCCAGACGTCGGTACAAATTTATCCCATTGGCTAGAGTGACATGACAGTCGCTTTAGATGCTGCAGACGGTACATGTTATTTCACGCCCGTTGACGTACGGAGGGCAATGGAGGGACCCGCAGGCCCCCTCTATGATGTACAACAGTGCTCCGTTATGGTCAGTGTGACTGCCAGAGACCACCTCCGGGGCTTGGTCCACGCACACGGCTTTGGACCGCTGCTCGTGGGCGTAATGTCCAGACATGAGGAAGCCTCTATACTCCTCCCTCCAGTTCTCAGGACAGCCGAGCTTGGCTGGGAACAGGTACTGGGTCCCGCGGTCCACGAGGCGGCACACGGCGCAAGGCATGTCATGGTTGTGAAGGACCTCGGCGTTTTCGTGGGAGAACGGATCGAAGCCTAATTCGTATTCCGTTCCGTACAGATACGACTGCGAGTTCACCCCGTCGTTGTAAGATGCCGCCCAGTCAGGATCAGTGGGAAGGCAGATAAAATCCACGGAGCCGCCTTTGTGGGTGTAATGCGCACCGGTTGCGAAGCCTTCATTGGGATTTAAAAATATGCATATATCAACACAAAGGAATAGTTTACGAGATCGGGAACAAGGGAATCTCTAGAGGGAGTCAAGCGTCCGATAGTATTCAAGATTGTCCGCTCTGAACAGCCCCCAATGCAGAGTGTGTCCATCCCTAACACACAAAGAATAATTTACCAAACAATTCTCTTTTAAACAGTTCCATAATATCATTGCACGGCCTACCTGCGTACACCAGTTCCGTGCCTGTGTGATTGGGGCAAATAGTGCGCCCCCATCTGATGAAAGTCTCTCCCCCTGACACCCTTATGTTGTCACGGTGGTCGCTTGGCTCTAAAAAAAAAAAAAAAAAAAAAAAAAAAAGAAGAAGAAGAAGAAGAAGGAAAACAATTATCATGTATAAAATTATTGTAGAAATAGGTTGAAATTTACCAAAATCAATGATGACCAAAGTCAACAGAGTTGTTTACTTTGAGTGAATTGCCTTTTCTGAGCGAGCCTGGAATTATAGGTCTACCAAATATTTCTCTGTTTTCTAAATTTCAGCTGCATTGTAACCTGCCGGAAGTCATATATCAGCAGATCCTAGTATGGACCATCATGAGGCGTCCTTTAGAGGGGGTTTCACTGTCTTGACAGGCCTCCGGGTCCAGACCAGTAAATATATTGCCGTAGACCTCAGTGGAATTATGCGCACTTCCCAAAATTAGTATTAAAAATACTCACAACTCTCCGATGCAAGACACGCATCAAATTATACAGCTTATCCATCTTCTTTCATTTTCTCTTACTTTTTTTTGGGGGGGGGTGGAATTCAATGACTTTTGGGAGAACTTTCCATCCGAAGATGATCACCCGTCCTGAAGCCCATCGCCATTTTGAAAATTTCATCCTAATTTCACAGAAATACAAGCTCACAGTCCTGTGTACGGCTGAATTCCACTCTCCTTTTTACAAACCCTCAAATTCATGGCTCACAAAATGTTCTCATACCGAATAATTTGAGGGCATGCAAATCGTGACTTGGCTGGCGTAGGCAATTTTGGACCGATTTACTGGGCTGCACCCCTCAGGGGCTTGCTCAGATTTTGCGGGAAAATTACGATTTACATAGACTCGTATAAACATGTGATCCCTACACCTGGGAGCCAGCCTAAAATCAAGGCTACTCACATTTCTCTGTTTATAATTTTCCCAGCTACAATGGTAAACATGCCAGAGGTCATCTATCAGCATAAACACATTGCTGAAGTAGGAAAAAACTCTGATGAGATATTTGGCTCGTGTTTTGGGGGGTC